AATATAATATCCTACTCTGGAACAGCATATTACATCATATCTATCATCCCTGATTCCCTTTTCTTTCTTACCACTAATATCCATCAACAAGTTTATTAATTTTACTTCCAAATTGTATTTAGAATGTAGTCTATGGCAGTAGCTCCTAAGGTCTCCCAGTTTCCATGCTAGCCCCTCGGTACTCCATACTTGAGACCACAGCATGGGTTTTTGGAATATCCATCAGGTAACCCTCCTGCTTTAAATTATCCAGTGGTTTTCCATTGCAATTAGAATCCAACCCTCTTCCTTTGGTGTTCAGAACCCTTCATGATCTGATCACCAGCCCCACTTCACTCTGTACTCCAGCCACAGTGACCTTCCTTCCAAGAACTTGCCAAGTTTTTTGCCACAGATGGAAAAACCTTTTCCATCTCTTGACCGCTCTACCAGGAATGTTCTTCCTGCAAGTCATTTCATGTTGGTCTTCATAATTCATTTCTCAAATATCACCTCTTAGAAAAGTCTTCCCTGGCCACTACACTAAAGGAGACTCACATCAAGGCATTCTAGCATATTGTCGCCTCATTTTCTTTATTTTTTGTTTTTCATAGGACATTCCAGTATCTGAAATTTCTATTTATTAGTTTATGTCTGGAACAGCCCCCTGAGCTCCCCCCCACCACGTCTCTCTCTGTCTCTGTCTCCAAGAATAGAAAGGTCTTGCTATCCTTTCAGGATAGGGTGGCTGAAAAGAAAAAGACTACTTCTCATTCTTTTATGATGAGTCTATAATCATGAATGGCAGATTAATTATGTTCTAGATCCACTAACCTGTATGTGACTATAACTGACCTTTGAATAACAACCATTTACTCATACCAGAAAACAAAAGTCAGTTTTTCCCTTTCAAGTAGAGATTTTGAAGATTTTTAGACTTTTAGAACTCATAGTGTTCTTAGTTTAAAATCAAGAACAAGTATAAAATAATATAGAGGCAATTCCACAGAGATGTTTAAACTGAATCATGTCCTCAAACCAAGTGAAATGACTCACTAGGGGACTGTTCATTTGTTCAACGTTCACTAAGGCTACTTAGTTCTTTTTTTCTTTTTGGTATTCTTTTTTTTTTTTTCCATTTATTTTTATTAGTTGGAGGCTAACTACTTTACAACATTACAGTGGTTTTTGTCATACATTGAAATGAATTAGCCATGGATTTACATGTATTCCCCATCCCGGTCCCCCCTCCCACCTCCCTCTCCACCCGATCCCCCTGGGTCTTCCCAGTGTACCAGGCCCGAGTACTTGTCTCATGCATCCAACCTGGGCTGGTGATCTGTTTCACCCTAGATAATATACATGTTTCGATGCTGTTGTCTTGAAACATCCTACCCTCGCCTTCTCCCACTAGAGTCCACAAGTCTGTTCTATACATCGGAGTCTCTTTTTCTGTTTTGCATATAGGGTTATCGTTACCATCTTTCTAAATTCCATATATATGTGTTAGTATACTGTAATGGTCTTTATCTTTCTGGCTTACTTCGCTCTGTATAATGGGCTCCAGTTTCATCCATCTCATTAGAACTGATTCAAATGAATTCTTTTTAATGGCTGAGTAATATTCCATGGTGTATATGTACCACAGCTTCCTCATCCATTCGTCTGCTGATGGGCATCTAGGTTGCTTCCATGTCCTGGCTATTATAAACACTGCTGCGATGAACATTGGGGTGCACGTGTCTCTTTCAGATCTGGTTTCCTAGGTGTGTATGTACTTAGGCTACTTAGTTCTAAAGATATTAAATCTATAAAATATTTCCCAGTATCCTCTGAAAGGTATTTCCCTATTGTAGATTCTGTTTTTAGCAGTCTTCTGTTCAGTTATCGAGATTCTTTGAAATTATTTACCATAGAGTGTTCCCAACTTTCCACCACACTTATCTGAGTCATAATTATCTGTATCTGTGTTTGTGAATTCCTTGAGGATAAGGGACATTGTTGGAGGCCTTGTCTTTCTTTTAAAGTATCCATGATGTGGGAGCTGCCCTTTGAAGCCAAGAGCTCTTCACCTGACCAGCTCTTCTCCAGTTCAGGACAGGAAGGAAGGAGACGAAAACAGTCATTGTTAAGTAAGAGAAGCATATGAGTATGGGCGTCAGGTGATGACAGCTGCTACCCCTAGGTTATCCACACATATTAATTGCCCCTGTATTTTAAACAGTTATATAACCAGGGCTTCTCAGGTCGTGTGCAGTGGTAAGGAATCTGCCTCCCAATGCAGGAGATGCCAGAGATGCTGGTTCAATGCCTGGGTCAGGCAGGATGAGTCTCCTGCAATAGGAAATGGCCACAGCTTCAGAAAATTGCCTGGAAAATTTCATGGACAGAGGACCCTGGCGGGCTACAGCCATGGTGTCGCAAGAGAGTCGGACACTACTTAGCCACTCAACAACAAATCATATAACCAGGGTAAAGTGTTCTGCTCCATGAGATCTGTTTGGCACCAGCCTATGGGGCTTCCCTGGTGGCTCAGACGGTAAAGCGTCTGCCTGCAATGTGGGAGACCTGCGTTCGATCCCTGGGTAAGGAAGATCCCTTGGAGAAGGACATGGCAATCCACTCCAGTACTCTTGCCTGAAAAATTCCATGGATGGAGGAGCCTGGTGGGCTACAGTCCATGGGGTCGCAAAGAGTCGGACACGACTGAGCGACTTCATTTTGACTTTCACTATGGGAGTATGAATAGATGTCAAAGGTGGAGGCAACAGATGGTGAGAGTTGGTGAATGGGGACAGAGAGAGAAATGGGAATAGTGTACAACTGTGGTTTATAAATCTAGGTACTCAAGAAATAGAACATGAGGCAAAATCTGGATGTTGTCTTTATATATAATAATAAAATTCATTATCTACATTGTTAGTGAAAACAGAGCAGTTTGTCAATTTTTTTTAAAGTATCTTTATTATGTCCTGTTCTTGATGATCAAGAAAGTTTACTGGAAATTGCTCCTTCACCAGGAAATTGCTAGCATCACTTCAGGCCCACTTGTAAGATCCTGAATTCTATCTCTCTAAGGATAGGACAAACATAGATCATCTTGCTTATTTCAGGGGCAAGAGTGAAAGTAGAAAGGGCAGAGGTAAAGTGAAGAGTGGTGTTGATACCAATTAACCAAACTAAATGAAGGAAGGGGGTTTATACTGTAATTGCAAAGAATTATTCATTCAGTTTTTTTCCTTAAATATTATGCTATCAGTTTTTTTCATGTGGGGATGGTGTTGAAATGTAGACTCTCAGGACCACCTCCAGATTTAACAGGCCTGTGGCAGAGACCTGGAATCTGTGTTTAAACAACTATCCCAAGTCAACTGTGATGCAAGTGACCCTCAGAAATGCTCTGAGAAACAGGACATTGGCAATGATGAGTTTTTCACCTCTAAAGATGAACAGAGTGAGGGGGGTGTGAATAGGACATGGTGATACTAGAGATGATCAGGTAGGTGACTAGTTCTACAGCTATGGCTTCCCACTGCTCATCTCCTGTCTCAGCACTCCTCCATCCACTCCCCCAAATCACAAAACCTGAACAAGGTTTTGGGAGTAATGCCTCCCTGGTTGTTAAATTTTCATATACTTCTTTGAGGTGATAAAAAATCTAATTTTTTCTTAACTCATCCCATTTTTCTAACTCCAGAAGATATACAAACTCCATTAAGCTTGATAAACGGTATGGGAAAATATGAATGGTTGAAGGGTGGAAACAGGTGGTAAGATGAACAAAATCACAAACCCTCAGATTACTAATATGTGTATCATCAAGCAGAAAGCTGAGTAAATACCTTCCATTCCCATCAACAGCTTCAGAGAAAGGCAAATTTCACTCACCTCCTGCCTTCCCTGCTGATCATTATGTAGACCCTGAACACTGCTTTGGTAAAACAAATAAATAATCCCTCTGGCCCCCAGTTTTAAAAATTATTCATGCATCATAGAGGCTATCTAAGAGGTTATTACTTATCTGCCTACTCAGTAAATTATTTGCTCCATAAAACTCAGTGAGTTAGTGGTAGGTGGCTCTAGAACCAGCTTTTTCCTGTGACAATCATGACCTCAATAGTAGGTCTTGAAAATCCTGGGTCTTGACTGTCATTTTTAGAAAAATGAAACTGGTTAAATAAAAAATATCACAGGGGATAAAGTTGAAAAAACATGATTCTTTTCCACCATGTGGCCTCAAAGAGATTTGAGCCAAATCTCCAAGTCTATTACAATTTTATTAAGGCTAAAGAGAATTTCCTACCCCCCACCAGATTTTAAAGGTAGTATCATCTTCTGTATTTTTCCAAGTTAAAAAAATAATTTTAAAAAAATGTGATATTCTAAGAATGTGAAAGGCCTTACTTGGCAAAGCAGGTGCCTAACCATAACAATGAACATCTCAATACTCATTCATTATCCCTATTTTGAATTGCCCGATGAGATGAATAAACAAGAAAGGCAAACAATGACGAGTCCAATTTATCAATTTAAAATTATTATAAAAAGAAAGAAGGAAGGGAGGAACAGGACAGTGAGACTGCCCTAGAGAGCCAGAAGGAAAGAGCAAAAGATATGCACCTAGAAGTTCGGTGGTGCTTAAAATAATCCTGCAGCCTCCTCAGTGTGAGTTGTTTCAGCTTGACCTCAGCCAGTGATCCGGAATTACCAGAGGATTTTCTCAACCCATACCTAGAATGTGCTACCCTAACCTGGATCTCAAAGAGGCAAAATAGCAGGATCCCCAGAGCATTCTTAAAAGGTGTCAGTCCTAATGGGAAGTTATTTTAATGACAAATGCAATTATGGTTTCACTATGTCGAGGAACTTTGAGGAAGTGACAAAATCCAAGTTTTAAAAATACATTTCCTATCATACGCATACACCTACTTTCTAAACAAATAATCAACGCCATCCGGGCCTGGAAGAGGAGGTATAATGAGTAATTAGGGATATATCGTTTTACTTTCTATATGTTGTAGATCAAGTTATGTCAGGATGATCCGACATCTTGTAAAAGAGCTTTTAGCAGAAAGGGGAAACCTCATGGCAGAATTTAGAGTGTGGATTCTTAAGGTAAAACCAATGTCGGACATCTGTGATGATTTCCGATGTTGGTTTGTTTATAAATACTTGTTTAAAACGTCAGATAATGATTTGTTTTCATCTTTGAAACTTTTCTTTTAAAAAGCTGATTTACGGGAAGCTGGATTTAAGTTTCACTTTTGGTTTCTTTTATCTATCTTTTCCAAGAATGGAAAACGCGCTTATTTCCCAGCTCACATACTGGGGTCAGGGTAAGGAAATCCAGTCCCCTCGGCGCTTACGGGGCGGGCCAGAAAGTGGGCGGAGAAACACCCACGCGAGCTCAATAGCTGCGGGTGGCCCCGACAGTCCGCAGCACAGCTCCGAAGTCTCCGCGCCAGCAGCGACTCTCCCGCCGGCAGGTAGGGAGCGTTCTCGCTCACTGGCCAGTGTCTTTGGCTGCCTCACTGCTTGGCACTTTAAAACAGGGCTGCCACCCAGTCCCGTTCTTTGGGATGGAGAGAGGAGAAGGGTAGGGGAAAGCATGTGATGGTTTCGGTGGTGTAGAGCCGAGTACTGGTCTAAATTAATAAGAACAAGTAACAAATTAGCTTTTCGCTAGGCGGGATTTAGTTTTGCTTATCTGGTAAGTACATACATGTTTCTGCGCGTTCATGCCTGTGGTCCTGAGGTGGGTAAACGGATCTAGAGGGAAATTTCTGGGCTGGAGGTCAGGACACCCGAGTCCTAGTACACCTTCAGCCGCTCACTAGCAGTCTGATCTGGGTAAGTCCTCACACCCGCAGCATCTCCTGAGGGCCCTTCCTGCTTAACAGCCAGGATACCGAACCGGAGTTCTTCGCTCTGTCAGCTCTGAGGACTAAAGGAGTCCTGAAGGAGGGAAAGAGGAGCATGAGGGGAAAAATGTTAAAGCATTTCTTAACACTTTGAGCTTAGCCTATATCAAAGTTGAGTTTGGATTTGTCTTATAGGAATGTCATATCATTATTACGCCTTGTTTTTGGGGGGGGGCTTAATGTGGACGAGTTTCTACAGGTTAAATTGCTTTCTAAAAATGTGATTTTTTTTTTTTAATGGCTACATTCCATGGTGCTGGATAACCGAACAAAATTAAAACCTTCATGCTGGACATTAGGATTATTTAGAGGTTCACTATTTTAGCCATTCACCCACCTTCATTGCTTATAAAAGATGGAACATTGGTTATTATTTCCTTCAGAGGAGCTCTTACAAGTATAACTACCAGTCAAAGTCTGAATGCTTTAAGAGCCTTTTGATACAGATTGAAAATTGCCTTCCAGAAAGGTTGTGCCAGTTCATATTGACAGTTGCCCAGCAATTTATTAGAACTGTGATGCTCTTTAAAAAAAATGATAATAATCAACTTTTTTTTTTTTTTCCAGGGGAATAGAGTAGGCAGAGTTTACAGGACAATGGTTAGAGTGTGTTCTTAAAGGAAGCCACAGAAATACTGTGGAACTGAAGCCACACCTGGGAAATGTAGACTATCTCAGTGTGACTGAAGGGAGGGAGTCTGGGCACAGGGTTTAGTCGAATTTAATAGTTTGACAACATAGGCTTGCAAAGAGTCGCACACAACTAAAGAGATTGAATGTGAGCACAGAGGTTTAATAGGTCAACTGTCTTGATCTGTCATTTGAGTAGGTTTTCCCCTTGCTTGGGGACATTTTCAAACTCTAGGAATTTTTAAAAATCAAATCGTAGTTCATATACATCAGATAAAAATCAAAGGAAACCCTGAACTAACAGGTAACATGACACTCCTTGCTTTTAAGAAAACTTGAGTTCTTTTCCCTGACTTTTTGTCCTATCTATCCTACCTTAGTGAGATAGAGAAGTAGTATCAGTTCCATATTGGTATTCTGGGTTCCCCCAGGGACAAACCTGCTTCCCCATCCTGAATGAACCATCACTTCTTTCCTAGTTCACATTTTCTTGCTCTTTGAATGTCTCGGTTCTTGTCTGGGAATTTAGTTATGCTGAGTTTCTTACCTGAAGAAGATGTTAGTGTTCTTATCTTAGACCAACTGCCCTGGTGTGTGACTTAGAGGTCAAGAAAGAAAGAAAGTGAAGTCGCTCAGTCATGTCCATCTCCTTGCGACCCAGTGTACTGTATGTAGCCCGCCAGGCTCCTCCATTCATGGGATTTTCCAGGCAAGAATACTGGAGTGGGTTGCCATTTCATACTCCAGGGGATCTTCCAGAATCAGGGATCAAACTCAGGTCTCCCGCATTGCAGGGAAACACTTTACCTTCTGAGTCACCAGGTAACTGTTAGAGGTCAAAGACCATGTCTATTTACATGGTCTCTTATCTTCCCCCTACTATTCCCTCACTAGCAATAGCTGTACTCCAAGGTAATGGAGCCCTGGAAGAGGAGGTATAATGAGGACTTAGATAAATATCATATCTAATCCCTCACCTTCCAGTGAATGTTCATTACATCTAAAATTTTCAAACAGATTCGTCAAGAGATAGGAACTCCATCAAGGAATGTCATAAACACTGGAAAAATTAGTTGAAATCCGTGAGTGGATTTAATGTGCCTCTATTTTATTCAATAGTTCTTTGCTTGTTTTTTAAATTAAATTAGACTATATATACATATGTGTGTGTGTGTGTGTGTGTATATATATATATATATATATATATATAAAATAAGTGCTAGGTGAAGACACAGTGTAACTGGCAGCAGTTATCCACATGTGTCATGAACTAGGAAAATGTTCTTTCTCCTTGATCAGCAGTTCTACTTGGGGAAAAATCTATCCTCAGGGCCTAGCCTGGGACCTAGTACACAGTAGGCACTTAACAAATATTTGCTGAACACACAAATACTTAACGTTATTTTTAAAACTAAACACAATACTATACCTAACGACAGGAAACTAAACATTATGGGGTCACTAAATATCATACTTATAAATATTGTGTGGCAAAATGGAAAATATTCATCAAAATATTAAATGAAAAAGGTGGGGGTTATGTGTCTAGTTGTTTTTAAAAGCTTCTTAGGGAAAAATCTAGAAGGAAAATATATACTGAAATACAATGGTTACAAGGTTTCTCAAGCTTGTTGTCATTGTCGACATTTGGGACCAGATGTATCTTTGCTGCAGGGGTTGTCATGGGCACTCTAAGATGTTTAACAGCATCCCTGGCCTTTACCACTAGATAGTAGCAGATAGTACCTCTTTTGATGTCTGTTGTCATATGCTTGTGTTTTTGTTTTTGTAAGATATATTTCTTAGAGAGGAAGTGAAAGCTGAATGGCATATACATTTAAAATTTTAATGGAGATTACCAAATTGCCCTCCAAAAAACAGGTTATATAACTTCACATTCCTACCAGTAGTTGGTAAGGAAACCCATTTGTTCATATCCTCATAAACAGTAGATATGAGGAATGCTTATAATCTTAAGCAAGCAAGTAAGTGAAAAATGATGTCTCGTGTCTTAAACTATTATCTTTTCTTCATTGGTAAGATTGAGAGTCCTTCTCTTTGTTTAAATATCATTTGTATTTCTTATTCTCTGAACTGTATAATAGAACCTTTGGCTGATTTTCCTTTTGGGTTGTGTGTAGTTTCCTTACTGATTTTTAGAGCTATTTATATATATATGGCATAAATCTTCTGCCTTACATATGTATAACATTGATTAATTGATCAATTGTGAGTTTTTGTATGTACACAAAGGTCACAGGGACTCTTAAGGGGGAAAACTGGCTTTTTTCTTCAAAGTGTGTAAATATATGTATAGCATGAGAAAATGTTAATAAGAACAGATTTGCTGAACTATAGTGCAGATCTTCTCTGTTTACTCCTTTACTGAATATTTGCTCCTAGAGAAGAGTGATTTTTCTTTCCTCTTCACTGCTATATCTCTAATGCCTAAAATAGTGCCTGGCATAGAAAAGGTACTCAATTAATGTTTGCTAAATTAAAGAATTGGTAGAATTTCAAGCAGGATGACACGAAGAAGAGTAGAATCAAGGCAGATAACGCTGAAAGAAGGCTGTGAGTGAGCCACATCTTAGTATGAAGTGGTTGAAATCAATGGTTTCTCCTTCTCACTCTGCCTGCTGCTAGTGGAATCAGTTTAGTGAGGAAATATAATATAATTTATAATTTGGGATAAGCAAAGGACAAAAGAGGAGATTTAGAAAGATGGCACCTTGTTGAGAACTGGCATGGTTTGGATGATAATCTGGAAGAGTTGAATAGCTAAAGAGTAGGATGAAGGTATTCAGCTGCTGGGGGGAAAAGGCACTGAAGGGTGGGAGACATGGAAGTCAGATTCTGCTTGCTTTGAAATTTTGTATAGGGCAGGCTTAGATTTCTAGAGATGTTACACTGCAGAAAAAAACCTGTAAGATAATTGAGAGGATTTTGGTTCAATATTTTCATGTTGGTTTCTTTTGTGTGTACAAGTTTTTTCCAGGCCTTGTAGTTAAATTTTTAAAGTCTTATCATAGTATCTTTTTTTTTCATTTAGATTCATATGACTATGGGATATTATGTGAAGGTATTGAGCTTCTAAATTCCCTGCTGCATTTTAACACTTACAAATCAGTCATTGTCTGGTTATCAGTAGACAGTTTTAATTAGAACTGCCAAGTCCCATAATGTCTGGGTATTCAATTATTGAGTAAAGGAGTTTCCTTTTTTCTGTTTTCCATAATTAGGTCATTCCAGAAAGATGAGGATATATAGTGTCTTAACATTCATGGCTTACTGTTGTTTGCTGAAAGGTAAGGCACAAAATCCTTTCATTAGGTTCTATATTTTAAATATTTTAATTATAAGATTAAAAGTGAAATAATAAAATGGATATATAATTTTTATATAGAGGACTTTCTATTCTTCCTTCATTATAATTGATAAACATATTTCATATATCTATTTCACTGGGCAAAGATACAAAGAGTATGGACACACTGAAGGAAACAGAATTAACCCGTGTCCATCACTCACTGTGTGCTTGCTAAGTCGCTTCAGTCACGCCCGATTCTTTGCAACACTATGGACTGAAGCCTGCCAAGTTCCTCTCCATGGGGATTCTCCAGGCAAGAATACTGGAGTGGATTTTCAGGTCCTCCTCCAGGGAATTTTCCCAACCCAGGAATCGAACTTGCGTCTCTTTACATCTCCTGCATTTGCAGGCAGGTTCTTTACTACTAGTGCCACCTGGGAAGCCCATCCATTATACTCATTATCCATTATCTATTTCCCAAGAATAATTACTGAAAATATCTGGGGAAATGGCCTATGTGTATACTTTCACATATTTGTTTTAAATAAGGACAGGATCATTCTATCCACCTTGCTCTATGACCTGTTTTTTCTAATAAGTATATTCTAAGGAAGAATTGTAACATACATGGAATGTCAGGGTAATACAGTACCTGCATCAGCCTGAGATGCTCCCAAAATCTCTATACTCATCTACCTCTGGCCAGACAACTGATTAAGAGTTTGGGGCAATAAGGAGAGACATCCATTGGAATCTGTGATTTAGACTATGTAAAAGGCAAATAAATGTCCAGTCACAGGACATTCTGGGGATGTCCACATGAAACAAAGTCTTCCTGGTTATAAGTACCCCTTTACCATTTAATAGTTCTACAATAGTGTATGTTTATGAATGTTGGGACAACTTGTTTAGCTGATTTTATAATTCTAACTTGGGATGAGATTTAGCATCCCAAAACATGTCTCAAGCTCACTGGATAAAATAAACATTTCAGGGAAGTAAGTCCGTAAGTGTAATTATCATGTAAGTGACCAGATAAAAGCTTCTGTAAATCCTGGACTCATTCTATAAATTTTTTGAGGAATTTTCCATCTTCTAAGGATTGGTTATCTTTCTTTTCAGCATTTACTATCACAGTTCCCAAGGACCTGTATGTGGTAGAATATGGCAGCAATGTGACGTTGGAATGCAGATTTCCAGTAGACAAACAATTAAACCTGCTTGTGTTAGTTGTTTACTGGGAAATGGAGGATAAGAAAATTATTCAGTTTGTAAATGGGAAGGAAGACCTGAACGTTCAGCACAGTAGCTACCATGGGAGGGCCCAGCTGTTGAAGGACCAACTCTCCTTGGGAAAGGCTGCACTTCAGATAACAGATGTGAAATTGCAGGATGCAGGGGTTTACTGTTGCTTGATCAGCTATGGCGGTGCCGACTACAAGCGGATTACTTTGAAAGTCAATGGTAAGATTTATTATAGTTAATAAGGCACAACCTTTGTTAAAACCATATCTCAGTGTTGAACTTTTCATTCTTGAAAGTCCAGCTTCACTTTCCACAGCAGCAGTCTGTTATTCATTCATTCGCACACTCATCCAATGAGCATTGCTTGAGCACATCCTATCTGATAGTCCCCAGAGATCTAGAGCCAAACATGACAGTCATGTTTCACAGTACATTCAGTTTTCCTAAAAATTCCTAATCTTCACTTTTTTTATTGTTATAAAAGTAATATGTATACACATACTTGCAAATAATTCACATACTATGGAAGAGGATACAATGAACTACAAAAATGTCTCTCCTCCCTTTGCCACTATATCTTCCATGGCATGCAAAGGTAATAATCACTATTTGCATGTTCCTCCAGGAATTTTTTAATTTAGTACCTATTTCTTAGTTTTATGAGGTCTGCCAGGATTTTCCTTCCTTGGAAACTCTATGTCAAATGTAAAGATATATATATTAAAAACAAATCCCACTGTAAAGTTCACATTCAAAAAGACTTGAAGTCAATCTATGAAGGCAAAAAATAATCATGTCAAGTATTGAATAAATGAAGAGAGTATGAACTGTGCTCACTGGGCGCACTTTCATCGTAAAAATCTGTGCCAATAATATGTTGGAGCATTGAAGAAGAACTGTGAGTGTCCAGTTCCTAGGTACTGACCTATAAATATGATATCTGGTCACTTGGGTTCAAAATTTGGGGTTTCTTCTGCTAAATATGGAGAAGGAAATAGCAACCCATTCCAGTACTCTTGACTGGAAAATCCCATGGAGGGAGGAGCCTGGTAGGCTGCAGTATATGGGGTCGCTAAGGTCAGACACGACTCAGTGACTTCACTTTCACTTTTCACTTTCATACATTGGAGAAGGAAATGGCAACCCACTCCAGTGTTCTTGCCTGGAGAATCCCAGGGACAGAGGAGCCTGGTGGGCTGCCATCTATGGGGTCGCACAGAGTCGGACACGACTGAAGTGACTTAGCAGCAGCAGCTAGCTAAATAAAGGAAAACACCTTAGTTGACCACCTCTGCTTTCACTGTTATGATACACAAAATTGAGACCTGAAAGAATCCCAGTCTAGAGCAGCTAGTCCAAACACCCACAGAAATCTCCACAAAGGATCTTCTATTCACATACTTACTGTGATGATACCCTTGTCATTTGGACCTCCCTTCCATAGCCTTTGGTAATTTCTTTCAGATATTGAGTTGGAATCTGCCATCTATAGTCACAGTTTTGAGAGTATCTGCTTGCTTCTTTTTTTCACATGGTGACCTTTTAATATGTGACTAGAGTTAAATAGTCATTCCTTGGTGTTTCTATTCCTGACCTAAGCATCAACCTGAAGGTCTGTAATATAAATAGGAAAAGTTTACATTTATCATAAAAGAGTAACTAATCATTATATACTCAAAATAAAATTTATATTGGAATGTGTCTTATTTCATGGTGCATTGCTGGGCCTCTGAATTTGGCTCAGTTAATGCTACTGTTGTCAAAATCTCACTTGTCCCATGAAATAGATTTAATTTAATTATATCTTACCATATGTTTCTCCAGAGCAGATATTTATAAAAACAAGCTGATGGGATCCCAAGTTGAGATTTTTAACTTTTCTTCAGTCTATCAGCAGTTATCAGGCATACTATATTTCAGGGTATTGAAGAAATGATCAAGACTTAGCTCCATGAACAGCCAGCATTTTTAGATCTTGGGTGGGTAGGAAGAGTATCAGCCTGGCATAAGGGGATTAGAAGGAAGTACAGAGTATAAGCTTCTGCTTCCATAAAAAGAGTCTCTCATCAGTCTGTAGGGAGTATGCAGAGAGTGGGAAAGCTGTCCCTGTCCTAAAGTTGTTCTTCCAGTTTTTCTGGGCTCTGTAATGTCCCTTGTGAATGGCACTGGCACCCCACTCCAGTGCTCTTGCCTGGAAAATCCCATGGACGGAGGAGCCTGGTAGGCTGCAGTCCATGGGGTCGCGAAGAGTCAGACATGACTGAGTGACTTCACTTTCACTTTTCACTTTTATGCATTAGAGAAGGAAATGGCAACCCACTCCAGTGTTCTTGCCTGGAGAATCCCAAGAATGGGGTCGCACAGAGTCGGACACGACTGAAGTGATTTAGCAGTAGCAGTAGCAGTTGCTGTAGTTTAACACAGTAGAAAACCTTTCAGCACAGGTAGTTTTTCCAAGGTGGGGTCCTTGATGGAGCAAAACAGATGACCAGCCAGATTTGAGGATGTGATTTTTTTGACCATTCCATTTCATATTGTAAATTACTAAATTGGCATCCTAGTCCCAGAACATCTCATTGTCATTTGCACACAGTGGTCTTGGAGGTTATGTTGAGCTGCACCTAAAGCAAGCCAGACACCAAGCTTTCATTGCACTGAAGCCATGCTGGCTTACATGAGCTTTACAACTCAGGGAAGTATAACTCCTCAGTCATTTCCATATGCAAATAATTTCACCAGTAAAGCTGTCGAGCTTCTCTTCCCATCACTGCAAACATGTGGTCTCATAGCTTCCCCACAGGGAGTTCAGTCACCATGGGATTTTAAAGGTGAAGCATTTCAAAACTAAAATTTGAGTTTAGTTTTAGATTAACTCAATTATTATTATCACTTAGGTGTTAGTGCAGCTTTCATTTTTGTTTAAATACCAGATTCTCAGACATTTGACTTTTCAGTTGAAAATGTTATTTTTTCCTTAAACATTGAACTCTATAGCCAGGAAAATGAAGTGCCCATTTATACTTTCAAGAACTTAAATGGGATTAGGCAACTGAAAGAACAAAGTGTATGTAGTTATCCTGATAAAGCTAATTTGTTTGTATGGACCAAGGATTAACTGCTTTACCGCCCCTATCTCTTCTCCATATTCACCAACCAGTCTTGTTTAAGTTTTTTCTGTAGCATTTGACCCCATATCGTGTAACATATCACATAAATGTACCTATATATTTTGTTACTATCTCTCTCCTTCTTCTAGATCATACAGTCCACAAAGACAGAGACTTTGGTCTGTTATATTCATTGCTGTTTTCCTAGGACTTGGCATATAAGAGTAGTAGTAAGACAGGAGCACATAAAAAATATTTCTTGAATGAATGAATGATGTATTTCCTCAAATAGGATAAATCTAAAATTTTTGAAACTTGAACAAGTTTGGATATATGAAAATTTATTTCCAAGGCTGTTCGTCAGGAGCTGTCAGTACTTTCTAAAGAATACCACATGAGTGCACTTTGGTAGCAGTAAGAAGAGGAAGAACAACTCTAGCAGTAATTCTATAGTACTTCAGGGCCAGGCCCCACCCTAAGCACTTTACCTGTATTACTGCATTTAATCCTCAAATGACTCTATGCAGTCAGAGCTTATCATGTTACAAATGCATGTTTTTTGCATTTTACTAGCTCTGAAATATGAGTGTATCTTTCAGTAGGTAACATCTTAGAATCAGTGACATGTGGTGTTACTCTTCTCATTTCACTGATGAGGAAACTGAGATCCAAAGAAATTTAAGTAATTTGCCAAGTTCATTCAACTAGTAAGTGATGAAGCTAAGTTCTAAACTCAAGCAATTTGGCTGAGGCCTGCTCTTAACAGCCAGGTTTTATTTTCTGTGTTTTTACCTCCAAAGTGTGTATTGAGCTATATTAATGTATTGACTTAAAACTACTGTCAACTTTTCATGGTCTGGATTAGCACATGTGTACTCCAGATCTAGTAAACCAGTCATCTGCAAATGTTTTTGATTACCTATCCCATCAGGAGAGCATGTTAAACTAACATGTTTATGTGTGTGTGTTTATAAAGAATATATTTGTGCTAGTATATAGGTTATGTCATAAGAAATTAACAGTTTTAAAGGCAAAAGAAATTGAACACCACCAATTTCATATGGTTCATATGAAAATACATTGGACAATCTATAAATATAAAAAATACAAATTTTAAAAAGATGACATGAGAATTTAATAAACATTATTTTCAATGTATTGTTAATTATGATGCTTCACTATCATCGGCTAATATTTCAAAGCAGAGTGCATCTCAGGTGAAATTCATCAATACCCAAAGTGGGTGATCTTGACAATCTTGAAGTTTTTTTTTAACCAATGCCTTGTCCTATAGAGTTAGGTACTTGTTTTACTTCATAAAGTTGTGGTAAGAAGTATCACTCTTGCCATTTCCTTTTTGTTTTTGCTTGAATTATTGGTAATATCTTCAATGCTCATCTTCTTTGTGGGAAACCTTTTAACTAGTTGTTCATTTTGTAAGCAGGTTAGTTTAGTTAAAATTAGATAAGCGAACCTGAATATCTATAATAATCTCAAACAAGTCACTGTCCTCCCTTTGGTGTTATAAAATTCCTCTATTCCTTTAAGACTCTCATGAGGTGCATGAAGTGAGAGGCAGTGTCAGTCAGTAAAATTTGTTAAGCTTAGATTATTTCTTAATTGTTATGATAAAAATACATATGAGTGTAAGTTCTAATATTTTCTTCTTATACCATTAATGGTAACACTAAACTATTAGGACTAAAAATTATGCCAATGGAATAATAACATGTTAACATAGTTGTAATGAATAAACATGAAATAAAGCTCTTAAGCAATATAAGAGCACTAATCTACTAAAATATTCAGTACATTGGATATCTTAATCCTAAAAGTATCCCAAATTAATGATATAAAATTTAATCAAAGTTAAATGATTTATTAAAATAACCAGCTAAAAAGTTTAAAAAATAAGTATCATAATATAGTATTCTAGATGAAATCCTAGAACAGCAAAAGGACAGTAGGGAAAATCTAGTGAAATGGAACAAAGTATAAGATTTAGTTATAACAGTATTGTTCTAGTGTTGGCTCCTTAGTTAGGACGAAAGTACCATGGTAATGTAAGGTGGTAACAGTAGGGGAAGTTGAGGGAGAGGTACACAGGTACCCTATAGTATCTTTGCAACTTTTCTGTAAATCTAAAACTATTCTAAAATCCTATAAATTCACTTAAACTTTAAAATGTATCATTCAGGAACATGTATCAACTTTTAGAATGACAATAATTCCTAGTTTCTGATCATTCACGTAAAGTTGAACAAGTAAGTGGAATGTCAAAATGGAATTTCTGTTTATTAAATTAAATGTAAGAAAACAGGGCTGAACAGCTGGAGAGGTTTATGTTTATGAAAACAGCTTTACAACAACAAAGGGAAAATATCCAGGAATAAAGTTAAGAATTTAGTCCTTTATAAAAACTATAAAACTTTACTGAGAAACATATAGAGACTTGACTAAATGGACAAACATGATTTATATTTGGACAGAAAGACTACTGCTTTAAAGTTGAAAGTTCGCTTTTAAAACAATCTGTATCTCTACTTTAAGCTCAATAAAAATAGCCGTATACTTTTTATAGCAAGATAGGTATTCCTTTAAGCCCAAACTTGGCCCAAGTATGATTGGAAGAGTTGAGGCAGAACTACCGGCATGTCTCCACTGCTGAGACATCTGAGTTTTAAGATTATTTCTCTGAAAACAGCCTGGATTGGCATTCTATCTAAGGTTGACAAGACCAAAAAGCCACATGTCTAGTTCTGTGTTAAATGAAAGCCATGCCTTCTTTTTGTTCATGACCTAGCTCCATACCACAAAATCTACCACACAATTTCTGTGGATCCAGTCACCTCTGAACATGAACTAATGTGTCAGGCTGAGGGTTACCCTGAAGCTGAAGTCATCTGGACAAGCAGCAATCACCAAGTCCTGAGTGGCAAAACCAGCATCACCAGTTCCCAGAGGGAGGAAAAGCTTTTCAATGTGACCAGCACACTGAGAATCAACACAACAGCTGACGAAATTTTCTATTGCACTTTTCGGAGATTAGGTCATGAGGAAAATAACACAGCTGAGTTGGTCATCCCAGGTAATATTCTGAACATCTTAATTAAAATGTGCCTAGTATTGTCTCTCTCTCTCTTTTTTTTTTTAGTAGTATTGTCTCTTGGTACATAGCCTGATGCCTGCTCATCATAAACTTTCATTGTTTGTTGAATGAATGAATAAACTATATTTATATGAATGAACTACATTTACAAAATGCATTCTGCTTCCTCACCTCCATTCATCCAAGTCATATTTCTACTTAGTAAACATTAAGCAAGTATTTATTCAATATGCTGTACTTTTTAGGCATTGGAGACTCATAGAAAAGTAATAAACAGTTAATACTCTTCAGGAAACGGATAGTAAAACAGGCAATCTCATTTCATGTTAGAAATGGTCTTGTGGCTGAGGGAATCTGCGCGAGCACCTGAGAGGAAGACTCAACTCAGGCCATGTTTCAGGAATCCAGATTTGAGTACATCACAGCTGTTTCCTTCTTTCCAGAGTTTCTGTGGCAGGAAACAAATAGGATGTACTTTTCTATCTTATTTCCGATGGGAGAGTGTCTTCCTGCCCGTTCTGTCTCCTCCAAGGTAGTCGTCTTAGTGCATAAATCTGTGTTCCCCTGGGCAAGCGACTTGATTTCCTCTGTGCTTTTCACATTTCTTACATAGTTATAACCTATTGGGCAACAGTATCCTGGAAATACATGGGCTTCAATGTATGAAAATGATTTGAGACTCTTCTTTGCACAGAATCAGCTATGTTTTTATCTCACTTTCCTACAGAAGTGGGTAAGGCAGAATATAATCTGGTGAGAGGCTCAGACCTTTAGAGAAGGTGAACTTTGAGAGCATGATGTTAATATAAACCCAGAGGTCTTCTTAGAGGCACTTCTCACCACACTCTCCTCACCCCCACTAGATGTTGACAGTAAAGCTCTGGTACTTCAGAGAAAACAAACCAAAAATTGAATAGAAAAGGCAAACAATAGGTAAAGACAATCCAGGGTAGTCCTAAGAACAAAAAGAACAGAAGCAGTTTAGAAAATTAAAGAATCACTTTGGGAGGAGCTGCATTAGTGAATCGCTGCCATTTAAAAGCTGTTTTATAACAACTTACTTGTGGGAAGACCTAGGGTTAACTCACCTAACTTTTTGAAATATGTGTTCTCATCTGTCACCTGGGGGTTTTTTCTTTAATACTTGGCACACCTAACTCATAAAGTTATTAACAGACTTTGTAAACTGCCAGCTACTAGAGGAAGACTGACTATGATTGTGGCTTTAAAACTTGAATTAGGTAATCACAAATCATGGCTAATGGTGGGAGGTAGGAGTTAGTCTCTGAGCATCATGTGCCATAAGACTGCTTTTCTTCCTGCAGCGGACTGAAGATAGATCGGTGAAAAGTACCAATGATTAAATGTCCCAGGGTGTTCAAACGGTGGAGAGGAAAAAAGCAAACCATGATCCACAATCATGGCCACAGATGTGGGGAAGAAGGAGCTCTTTTGGGAGTGCCAATTAGCCATCACACTGCATCTTTGCCATGTGCAGTAGACTGCTAGCTTTTATATTAAGGAATGCAAGAAGTGAAACAGTCAAGGCTATCATATAATACTGAGCTGCCACACCCTGTGAAAAGCATTTTATTAACATCTAGCCTCACGAAAATTTCAGTATCATTTCCATTTTGTAGACTGGTTAAATGATTTGCCGGAGAACTCAAAGCTAGTGAGTAGCCGCCGAACTTAAGCTGAGGTGCACCTGTCCAACACCTGGGCTGCTTCCAGTTTTCCATGTTGCCCCCATTTTCATATCTGAGGTATTTCACCATTCCAGTCACTCACTAGAGGGGAACTTTTGCTACTTAAGAAAATGCTAACCTAAATTAAACTTCAAAGATGATTATTCTCTTGGTCCCTCCCAAAGAAAAATTTATCTTTAGTCAGTTTCATTTTATTTTGTTTTTCAGAACCATATCCAGATCCAGCAAAAAAGAGGAATCACTTGGTGATTCTGGGAGCTGTCTTCTTGTTCCTGCATGTAACGCTGGCAGTCATATTCTGTCTGAAAAGAAATGGTATTTCCTTTATTGTGACAGACTCTGGTGGGGTTGTGGAAAAATGTATGAGAGTGCTACTGTTGTCATGGTGGCACTTGCTGGGCAGAGTCAGGGATGCGACATCTCCTGTAATGTGCAGGACAGTCCCATGTATCGGAAAACTATTCTACCCCAACAGCTAGGGGTGCCCCTGACAGAAAACAGTGATTTATAAAAGGCCTTTCTATTAGCCTTCCCTTCCAGGGCCAACTTTCAATTATGCAAAGTAGATTTTTAGCTACCTTTCTGTAGCATCATTTGAATTGGAGGGTGGCAGTAAACACTTGTAGTAACATTTCTAAGGGGGTGCGAGTTGGATCATGGCTGCAGGCAAACCTGACTTGCCTCTGCAAGGTAGCACAAAGACACTCCACTGTTTCACAGCAGTTATAGCGAAGCTGGGCAGGATTGCAGGGTGAAGATCCTGAGAAAAAGGGTGTGCATGGAGGCTGAAGAAGACCAAGTGTTAAACAGTTTCTTTCTATCATGGGAATAATCACAGACTTACAGGAAAGAAAAAGTTAAAATGCCTGTTGGTTTCAGTTGAGTTTGTCTTGAGTTAGTTACACTGTTATATTGAGCTGGCTTCTGGGAGCTTTAAATAATAAAAATGGTTCCTTATGTAGAACAGTGGTACTTTTGCCACAGAGCAGTTTGCTGAAGGTATTATATAGTTTTCAAAACAATTTTAATATGTACATTTCTCTGTTTACCCAAGGGGACAATTAAAATTCAGGAAAATGTGTCTATTCAAATAATTTCCTTTCACTTTAAAATGATTCAGAGTAAACATTTCCCCAATACTTTGAGAAGCATACCAAAGGATCTGATGATGATCTGTATATAGAGTTATCTGATGGCAAATAGGGAAGTGGAAAATGGAAGGGAATTCCAATAGTTGTTGAGAAATTCCCTACAACCCCTTAAGAGGTGGGTGGATCTGGGAAAGTGGTGTAATTGAGGGAGTGGAGGTCAGCTTCTTTTAATGAACAGAGAACTGAGACAGCCAGACTATATGGATTAAATTTCAGTGATAGGAAGATCCTGAGGTGGTATTGATTTATTCAAGGAAGTGGCTGTGACCACAACTTGCATTTCTATGTGAAAAATCATTAACTGGCATTAGAAAGGGCTGGAAAACTAAAGTATAATAAAGTGTCTCAGGATATGGTACATCTGTGGAGGGAAAATAAAAAATAAAAGTATATACCTCTGAAGAAAATTTAGGAACAAAAGCATGTGTCCTAAACTGTTGGGACCCCTGGAAAATGGAAGTCTACCAGATTTCCTAAGGGATTAGAAATATTTCATAGGAACCTAGGATTTAAACTTGAGTCACTCTGTGGGATGTATAGTTGTATTACATGAAAATAAAAATAACTTTTTTCTTCAAGTGAGAATGATGGATGTAGAAAAATGCGGCACCCAAGATATGAATTCAAAGCAACAAAATGGTAAGAATTTTAGCAGGGATTGGAAGTTGAAGAAAGGAAACAAAAAGTTAAAGAACAAGGGGAAAGCTATCATTATAATCTCCCCTTATTTTACTGAATGCTGAGTGTTGGAACTACCACCTCCTATTTGTCTCACGACTCTGATATAAGAATGGTTCCCACAGTCTGAGATTTAGGGATAGCAGAGAGGAGTAGAGGGATGGCCCCTTGGGGAGGTGGGAGAAGGAAGCAGCTTCTCTCTGCTAGGTCCTTTGCTTTGCATCCTAACATCTCCCTGCATTAGGGGACCAAGTTGATTTATGTGAATGGGTGATAGATAAATGGATGGGTAGATAGATAAAACTTTATATAAGGCACTGTGTGTACTGCTTCATGTACAATACCTCAATCTTCTCTCTCCATAATATCAAAGAAGATTTATTTTTTTATTATCCTGGGATAATACTAGATTATTCCTGTTTTATAGTGGAGAAAGCAAAGAGTCAAGAAGATAATATGAATTGCTCAAGAACACAAGTCTTGACAAATATCAGGCTTTGGAGCCTGCTAACCTGACCATGGAACCTAACTCTTAACCTATTCACTTAAATCTATTTCACCACAAATGTCTACATTTGTAGAAGTCCAGAAAGACCGCACCCAGTCAAGATCACTGAACTAAGAAGAAAACTATATTAAGGCTTCTGGTTCTTCTTATGTAATTTGAAACCAAACTTCACAGTAAGCCCAAGTTTAAAGTTAGTCTAATCACCCTGGACAAGCTCAGGCGTGTTTCATTATGGAGTCCATAGCACTCATTTATGTTGTAAAGCTCATTAGTGAGTGTTGTTTGAAGCTTCTTAGGGTGACAGACCATCCCAGTTTGCCAAGAAGTAAGGGTTTTCTCAGAGCATGAGTCTTTCAGTTTCATAACCAGGACAGTCCTGGCAAACCATGGTAGGTGGTTACAGTCTGTCATGTAAAGGGAATTGGGCATAAATATAATGTTTCTTTGTCTTGTTGAAAGCTTATATCATCTAGCAAATATTTCTTATGTTTCTCATTTTCACTTTCCAGCTACACAGTTTGAGGAGACGTAATCCAGTGTTAAAACTTCTGATCTTAAAACAGGGATTCTCAGCCTGTGGTTTGGGTTTATCAGACCAGAGGTATGCAGTGGGCCAGGGGGCTACAGATGATGTAGAACTTAAAAAGCCCAAGCTCTGAAGACAGAAGCTGAGGGAGAACAAAGGAAGAAGGAATAAAGGTACCGTGGAAGGAAACATTGTTACTTCTGAATGATGGAAGACTCATCAATGCATGTGAAAAGGAGAAAGGACACTTCAATGATGAACCTCCATGTACATTATCCATCACTCATCTTAGGAAAACAGGTTGAGATTCCCTGATTTAATGGTCAGTTCCTCCAGAAGTGCCCTTTGCCTTTACTCAGTGCTTTGATTTGTCTTCTGGTTGATTGAGCATCCCAGTGTTGCCACAGTGTTTGAGTATAATTTGTTTTTATTTATTTTGAGTCTGTGGGGTCTTGTCCTGTGAGTGTGGTTGTCAGTGATTTCTTTTGAAGATATGCTGTAGTAGAAATTAACATTTTTTCACAAGACCAAATTTACTGCTCAATGACTTGTGTGTGTCAAGTAAAATGTAGTATTTGTAAAGTACTTGTTATCCTCTATAACTGTTAGTACTTAGGAATCATAGAGAACAAACCATTAGTTTGTATAAGATATTTTTAATACCTTATTTAACCCACTGATACTTCAATTGACTTGGATAATCTTATTCTCAGACCTCAAAATAAGATATGTTACCAAAATATCTGTTACACTTAAATATCAGCTTTACAACTATGTGTGCACATAATCTCATTTTATTCCTGTAGCAATAGTGGTAAGCACTAGTGGTAAGCACTATTATTCTACCTGTTTCACAACTGAGGGAGCAGAGGTAAAGAAACTTGACCAAGGCAATACATAGCAGACCTCAGATTTCCAAAACTGTCACCCTCTGTCCTTTTATTTATTTATTTATTTAAATTGAGGTATAGTCGATTTACAGTGTCGTGCCAATCTCTGTTAAGCAAAATAACTCAGTTATACATATATATATATGCTCTTTTTTAATTATTAAAAAATTAATAAAGACACTTTTTTACCTTCTGTCCTTTAGAATATAATTTACAGCTATGCTTTAAGACATGTTCATTCAGCGAATATTTAGGAAGTGCCCTAGAATGTCAATCACTGTGCCAGGCAGAGTCTACAGATGTGAGCAAGATAAGGAAACTTCCCTCTAGGAGCTCATAGTATAATAAGGACATCAATAAGATAATATATCACTACAATATGGTCCATTATAGCACAAGGTATAAGAGGAGAAAAATGTTGTGAGGAGGAAAATTTAGAAAGCTTCCAAAGGAGGGGATTCTCTGGGTAGCCAGCCAGTGTGTTCCTGGACAATTGAAAAGCATAAATATTTTAAAAATCAAAGCGATTTCAGTTTATGAGATGCCAGTATTCTTTAAAACCATGGAAAATGGCTCTTGAAATCCTTTTCTATCACTGTATTTACCCCTGATTGGTTTGCTTTGCCATGAAATTTGATGCTTATTTATATAGGGCCTGGTATTGTTAATAGCAGTTTTCTTTTTTATTTAAATGCAACTAAATTTTGAATTTATACTTTTTCATAATTTGAAATTCAAAAAGTCCAGTAGGAGACATTAAAAAGTCTCCATTCCATCCTCCTACTCATCTAGTTTCCCTTTCCAGAAGCAACCACTCTTATCTTTTGTTCATTTGTCTTCTAAAGATATTCTGTGGATATATGTGAAAATACTTGTAAAATGTGTATATATTTTTGATTTTTGCTCTTTTCCACATAAGCGGTAATGCATTATGCATCTGCTGTGCACTTTGCTGTTTTTATTTAATGTACTGTTTTTTATGTAGTAAATAGAACAAATGTGAAGTTCCCAGAGGCTGGGCACTGTCTTATTTGTTCTAGGTCATCTTTTCCATAGCCTCCTAGAAGATGTATGTGCATGCTAAGTCACCAGTTGTGTCCCTGTGTGACCCTATGGACTGTAGCCTGCCAGGCTTCTCTGTCCATGGAATGCTCCAGGCGAGAATACTGGAGTGAGTTGCCCTGCTGTTCTCCAGGGGATCTCCCCATCCCAAGAATCAAACCCATGTTTGATCTTACGGGAGAAAAGAAGTGGTTTCGATCCCTAGGTTGGGAAGAGCACCTGGAAGAGGGCAGGGCAACCCATTTCAGTATTCTTCCCTGGAGAATTCCATGGACAGAGAAGCCTGGCAGGCTACGGCCCCACGGTAGTATATACCAAATAGTTACTACATTTAGACAACCAGCCTTTGTCGAGTCCTTGCTCTATGACTGTGTTTGGATTTGGTTTATTTTTTGTTTCTCAAAGAGAGAATGTGTTTCTCACAATGGATTTTCCAGAATGCACCATGTCAACCTGGCCTTAAAGGATGACTTTATTGCTAAGTCTGTATGACAGATTCATGTCTGGAACTTGGTTTTGTTTTTTTTTTTTTTTTCTGTTTTATCTTGAGTATATACTTGACTTTGATTTTGCACTTGCAAAATTGTGTTCTTTTTGGAAATTCCAGTCAAGAACCTTGACCCTAGATCCTCATTTGTGCCAGAAAAGGCTTGTGAGGCCTGTGAGCTGTCTGGACCCTTGAGTCCAACCAGTTCTTACCACTACACAGGTCTCCTAAGATACTGCTTTCCAAATGTTCAGATGCCCTCCAGGAGATCCCAGAATATTTCTTCGTTCCTCACTTACCTGGATCAGTGACAAGGAAAATATTCTTTGCTTTGCCATATATCAAAGCTGAAGAAACAGAATCTCCAATAGAAATTTTTCTGTTATCTTTTTTTACATGTTCATTTGCACAATATCCCTTGTTTGGGTGACAGTATCTTTTGTGTGAAGTACAAGCAAGAATTGTGGTTCAGCAAGATGTGAAGTCTGTTCTCTCCATTCCTAAATCTTAATGCCTTTTTGTGGTGTTGGATTTCTAAGGCACTTTATTCCTTTGTCTTGTGTTTCATTGTAAATGATATAGGTAGAGATGATATCTAATTCTGCATTTGTCATTGTTTACATGTGCATTAATTTAATAAAATATTCTTATTTATTTTGTTACTCAGTTCATCCGTGTATCAATTTTCTTGTTTCCTACATGTTTTATAAAAATATTCTCAGTTTAACATTGCAATGGAGACAGTTACTTGGAATATCTTCAGTTACGTTCTTAGTTCTGTTTTTCATAGCTATGTAAACATAGCTTCTATGTTTACACAGTATACTCTTGCAACCCATATGATGAAAAATATCAAAAGCTTGTTTTAAAGAATGTATTGAAAATTTTCATCCTCTCTCACTCGATAGCTTCCTTTAGAATAGTACGAAGAAAAGAGTCAAATCACTCTGTTCACTTTGAAAAGTGTTCAAATTACTATTGTGAAGATCTGAAGGAAGGGGGATGAGAGAAAAGTGATCTTCAAGAGAACTATAGGGAAATGAAGGGACTTTCCTTTACAAGAGTACTCTTCTCAGATCAGTAGACATGGATATGCAACCCCATGCATGTGAAGCTGGATTTATTCAGTCATCAGGTTCTGAAAAGGAAGTGAGAAACCTAGAACAAAGTTGAGGATTAAGGCCTGTCACAGGGTGAGACAGTAAGATTTAATGTGTCAACTAACTTACGTAGTCATCAATCTTAAAGAGACTTTTAATCATTTATCTAAATCAGATATTCTTAAAAGATAATGATGACTATTTCTAAGAATATATGACAGATTATAGATGATTCTAAAGAACAAGCATCAGTATCTTTGTAGAATGATGATATAATGTTTATGCTACTGCTGGGCAATGAAAACAATAAAAATCTTTAGCTGACATCAGAATATTTCACCTTTCTGACCAGACTTTCTGTCTGGCTTTGGTGGTCATGGTTCTGGATGAAATTTTGTGACATTGGAAGTTAGCCTGAAAATGGATCATGAGCTTTCATTAAACTTTTACTCCAATCCCATTTATAAGCATGTGACTGTCCACCACAAGTGGACCAAATATATTTTTATCTAAATATTTCAGAAACAGATAGATTACTACTATTTTAAAACTTAGAATTCAGAATTAACTTTTCCACTATACATATACCTAACCAAATTTGTGAAGATAGCTACATTTTATTTTTATAATTTTTCCATATTCCAGCCCCGCCCCTAAATTTCAAGGAAATTACTATTACAAACCAAATTTTTCCTATTATAATTTAAATATTTTCAGAATTATCTGTATTTTAAAAGAGATTAGGACCTTTCCTGGTGATCTACTGGCTGAGACTCTGTGCTCTCAATGTAGGGGGCCTGGGTTCAATCCCTGATCAGAGAGCTAGATCCCATATGCTACAATTAAGGGTTTGCATGCTGCCACCAAAGATCCTGCGTGCTGCAACAAAGATGGGAGATCCTACATGCCGCAACTAAGACTTGGTGCAACCAGATAAATAAATAAATAAATAAATATTTTTAAGAGGTTAAATTTTACCAGATTGAAGCAGTTCTCGTTCAGTTGCTCAGTCGTGTCCGATTCTTTGCGACCCCATGGACTGCAGCACACTGGGCCTCCCTGTCCTTCACTGTCTCCCAGAGTTTTCTCGGACTCATGTCCATTGAGTCAATGATGCCATCCAACCATCTCATCCTTTGTTGCTCCCTTCTCCTCCTACCCTCCATCTCTACCAGCATCAGTGTCTTTTACAATGAGTTGGCTGTTTGCATCAGGTGGCCAAAGTAGTGGAGTTTCAGCTTTAGCATCAGTCCTTCCAATGAATATTCAGGACTGATTTCCTTTAGGAGTCACTGGTTGGATTTCCTTGCAGTCCAAGGAACTCTTAAGAGTCTTCTCCAACACCACAGTTCAAAAGTACCAATTCTTCGGCGCTCAGCCTTCTTTATGGTCCAACTCTCACATCTGTACATGACTACTGGAAAAACAGTAGCTTTGACTATATGGACCTTTCTCAGCAAAGTGATAACTCTGCTTTTTGATACACTGTCTACATTTGTCATAGCTTTTCTCACAAGGAGCAGGTGTCTTTCAATATCATGGTTGCAGTCCCCATCCACAGTGTTTTTGGAGCCCAAGAAAATAAAATAATTATGATAATTACTATTTATTGAGCATGTGTTCTGTGTCAGGCACTAGGATTACACACATTATCTCATTTAATGTCATGGCCTGGTGATGAGGTGTGCCACAAAAGTGCACCACATTTACCTGGAAAGCTCCCAAATCAGGAAAGTTAAGAAAAACTGGAGTGTTCATAAGGCAAAATTGGAATTCCCTGGTGGTACAGCGGATAAGAATCTGCCTGCCAATGCAGGGGACATGAGTTTGATCGCTGCTCCAGGAAGATTCCATGTGCTGTGGAGTAACTAAGCCCGTGTGCTACACCTGCTGAGATTGCGTGCTGCAACTCCTGAAGCCCATGCATCTAGAGCCCGTGCTCCTCGACGAGAGAGGTCACTGCAGTAAGAAGCCTGAGCACCTCAACAAAGAGTAGCCCCAGCTTGCTGCAACTGGAGAAAACCCACATGCAGCAATGAAGATCCAGCCAAAAATAATTTTTTAAGGCAAAAATACATAATAAAAATACACAATTGCAGTGATATTATGGGAAGGTTTTTTTTAAAGTTTGTATTATGATTCTTGCTGATTATTTACTTAATTATTTTTCCTCGATAGAAAAATACAATGGTCATTCAAATGTTATATATCTATAAAACTGTAACATTAATTTTTAATGGAGAGTAAGTTGTGGAACATTGGCTAAGATATATACTTCTCAGTTTCTTACTGTTGTGAAACTATCGTATTTTGACTGTTTTCCATCAATTTGTGATCGGAGTGATGATTCTATAGTATAACAATGCAGTTGGATGGACAGGAAGTTCTGAATATCTGTTTGCACTCAAGTAAATATTATCAGTAAACAGATCACCGATCTCCACTTCCCAGTCGATGTGCCCACTCTAGGATATAAGAGTGGCTTATACTATCTCACCAAGAAGGGAGACAGGCTGGGGAGATGGGCAGCAGCCTAGAGTGTAGAGTGAAATCTCACCCACAACCCCAGGATTCAGTTCCTCATCAGAGCTTTTCAGTCCAGATGGGAAACCAAGGAATGATCCAGAGAGGGAAAGGAGGTCAAAAATGGTAAGAAGAGACACCCACTGCAAGGCTGGGGCCTGAACATCATCATCATCCTGGTTGAAGGGGAGGTAAAAGGAGGTGAAGATGCATCCAGTTTCTACACTTGCAGCGTCTCTTGGCCGGAAACCAGTCAAAGAATCACACACTGCTACATTCAACACTTTGAGAACCCTGAGGATGACTCCAATGGTAACAGAACTGAATTAGGACAGCGTTCCAATGCCTACATTTTGGGACAGGAAAATTCTCAACATAAGAAATAAATGGTTTACCAGAATAAGTTCTGGCAGGATTGTGTTATATCTCAACATATTAATCTTATTTTTCTCTGTGTATTTCCTGCCTCCCTCTTGGGCATCTGAGGGTCAGTTTTCCTTCCCAAGCCCATGCCAAAGCTGAGACCTAGAAAGTACCACTTTGATATGTAAATTCCACTCCCATTTCCCACAGCTCTACTACAAGCTTCTCAGTGGGTGACTAACTCTTCAGACTTCTTCTACATGCCAAGTGTTTACATGGTATTATGGGGGAATCAAAGATATTTAACCTGACTTGTGCTCTCATGAAGCTTACAGTCTGAGGAGACAGTATATAAATTTAGGAAGAATTAAACAATAAGAGAGAAGATGAGACTTTAAAAAATGTCTCAAGACAGAAGAGAGGACAGCAAATGCTGTGAAGTAAAGGAGGGAAGAAATAGTAAGGGCTAGAAAACCTTCACCAAGTAAGCCATATTCAACTTGGACCCTAGAGAATAGAGAAGATGCCTACTTCTTTATTTGTTTTAATTGGAGGATAATTACTTGGCAATATTGTGTTGGTTTCTGCCATACAACAACGTGAATCGGTCATAAGTATACATAATCCAGCCCCCCCGAACCCCCCAGATGCCTAGTTCTGATGATGTGTGTCTTAGTCCACTTGAGCTGCTATAACAAAATACCATAGATTTGGTGGCTTATAAACAGAGTTTATTTCTCATCATTTGGAAACTGGGAAGTCCAAGATTAAGGTACCAGCCTGGTTGTGTTCTGCCCAAGACCCTCTTCCTAGTTCATAGATGGCACTTTCTCGCTGTGTCTTCACATGATAGAAGGGGCAAGCAATCTCTGTGAGATCTCTTTTGTAAAAACACCAAATCCCATTCATGAGAGCTCTATCCTCATAACCTAAGCACCTCCCAATGGCCCCATCATCCTAATATCATCATCTTTCAGGATTAGAATTTTAACATGTATCAGTGGTGGGGACCACAAACT